TAAATCTAAACTAATATTCCTATGTATATTCAATTCATACAATTAATAAATAGAAAAAATTGTTCACAGAACTATACTTGAATTTGCATTTATATTTATTCAAATAATAACAATTATACTATCATTACATTATTAGATATTAAAGATATTTATAATAATGTATAGCAATAACATTATATTGTCAATACATTACACAGTGCTAACATGGAAATATTGAAAGTAATAAATAAATATTTACCTTTTATGTAAGATTAATTGAATGTGTTTTAAAATCATTATTTAATCTCCCAAATACAGTAATACAGTAGTTATTAATATCAAAACTAATTGAATTCAAATAGTATATCAATACAAAGCAATACAGTATTGATTGACTCATTAACCCGACATTGAGTTACTTGCTAATTATTTGCAAACAAACATTAATGAGAAATGAATGAATTTATATTTTAATTACTTAATAATAACTGTTTAGACACGACTGGATAAAAATACGAAAATGATTTAAATATTAGACACTATTTACATCTAATACAGTGTATAATAAGAGTTAAAATATATGCTTTAAGTGATAACTAGTGATGTGAGAGTGAACGGCAATAGACATCGATTGGAGAACTAATGCTTTACATGAATTCATCACTACATCCACACATTCATCCCATATTACAAGTCATTCTCAATAATCTATTAAGCATCCCTTCCCTACCGGCGCTGCATATGCTCTGCAAGAATATTCTGCTCACAACTACACCCAACCCCTACTCTATACCACATCATTGATAGTGAGAGCAAATGTCAAACAATATAGGGATGAGAGCGCAGGGGTTCATGTGTTTGGCTCTACACTCGATTCCATACACTACTACAGCCTCCATACTATAGTGGGCACCACTTATACCGTATTACCCGCACTATTGTATGAATTGTATGCTTGGATGTGAGGTATTGTTCGCTGCAATACACACTCAAGTGTAAGGAAACACTACATTATACCAAAACATTATTCTCTATTCACTACTTTATTTTTATAGCTAGTAATCGCCAATTAATTAACTAATTGTTTTAATTTATCACATAATTTGTATTTAATTAGACTGTACTCAAAATAACTGCTATTGAAATGTTAAGGAGATGTGAAACCTTTTACAGGATACAGAATTTCTACAGAATTAGAAATTTCAATTCAATAGATTTATAATATTCTGTAATATTTATGATAAATGAGGTATTTCAGTAATTCTTGTTTGAATAAATATCAATTCATTTAAATAATTTAGTAATACTGTAGTATTATAGGATTATAATCAAATCAAAATACAATTCATACTATATAGTACGTATGTTATAAATTATTTATACTACCGGTATAAATTTTATAGCAATGGTTTGTGAAATAAAATATAAACCAGGAGTCAATTTGTAATGAAACTTTATTTAAAACTAAATGAGATATTTATGGTGACATTAGTTAAGAATCAAATAAAATATTGGACAATAAATAGGATCAAACTATTAGATAGCATTTCATACACAACTGTACAATACATTTGATGTAAAACTTTATTACAAATATACAGTAAAATCAATAAATAAGAGTTGTGTGTCAAAAATGACAGCGAGTTTAGGTATGATTTTGGTGTTGATAGTAGGGCTGGTCGGAGAGCATTTGCCAGGCCTCCCGGTTCATCATAAGGCCTTCCAGTAATGGCTTGAGATGTGAGGGACAGAGTTTGGCGAAGGCGTCGTAAACGGGTAAACAAATGGCGTTTATGAACGACACCTGCATTCGTGGCAATTCATCCCTCTTCTCCCGATTCATCATATCCTACATCACAGACACAGACAATCATTAGTCACTGAATCACACCATTAATCACATCTTTCATCAACACTTACAATGGGCTCAATGTTGAGTTGTTGCTTCTCAATATCACCTTGCTGGAAAAACTCACTGGCCACCAACTCTGCCACCACTCTTTGAATTTCCCTATTTTTGTATAAATATTATGATCATATTTTCAAACAAATATTCTTTAATGTATTATTAATGATTTCGCT